GGTAAAAGACAACTTGCCTTTTTGTATCCATTTATACTTCAATCGAACATATAAAAAGTTAAAATATGGCCTCGCTTACTAAACTCATTTCCTACACTTCTATGTAACTTCAAATGGCTTGGTTAAGCAGCGCGTTCACCCTTCACAGGGAGAACATGACTAGTTTCTGGCAAAATAACTTGCCGCGGTTTTCAGCTTCTTAGTTGGAATAAAATATCTTTCAAAATTTGAAATTCATAAATAATGAATTGAAAAATTCATTATGAATTTTCCAAACCATTGCATGTTGCCTTATCCACAAACATTATGCAAATGAACGGCTTTCTTATTTAAATAGACGACGCCAAATCCTTGTTGAATGTTCGAGTGTCATTCTCGCAAAAAGTACGGTAGTTTATTTCCTGAAATAACGTAAATTTAAATGTATGCCTGAAAGTGCTCCAAGTTAACTCGAGTCGATTCTTTTTAATAAAAAATTTCGTCTACTTCATCGTTTGTCGTCGATTGAATGAGTGACATTGTAGACTACACATAACGAGACTTAGAACCGTTTTCATTTAGAACAGAGGATAAAAATTAGATTTCTTTGCAGATTGTCAAACAATTCACGCCACAGAATTCTGTAAGACGACGCGGACAGATAAGTTTCTGCGAGAAAAGAAAATTTTAAGTAATCTTCCGACGGGTTGTTCCTATCGGAAGATTAGTGTTTTCGACCCAAACGTCTAAAGTAATTCCGAATATCTCGTTCGAAAGACAATTGTTTTCTTTTGCGCAAAATTTCAAGATCAGGGTCTAGAAAGTTCACATTTTAAAATTTAATTTTTACTCGTTATCAGTGAGATGCTGACGAAATTTCCGGGTCGGCTCCTTTTCACTCTTACTCCAATAGACACGGTCTACAACTCCGATAACGTCCCAACCGCCTCATTCAGAGCTGAATTTGTGCTCTTGTTTGGATATGCAGTTTTCATCCATAACACCGAAAACCTTCGGCATTTACAGCGAGCGGGCGTATTGAGAAAACCGTTACCACCACTTACGTTTATTTTGGGGATTTTGTTTAGTTTAGGGCGAATACATTCCCGATCGTAAAACCAAAAATTCCAAAGTACCTACCGTTCGCCATCGGTCTCCGTAGAAAACGCCATTAATCACGCGACCACTAATCGTCCCGAATCTCTCTCGGCAATCAAAAATACTACCAAAATCATCTTATTTGTCGATAACCGAATTTTAAACAATCTATCGTGTGTAATTTGTTGCCAGTGGGGAAAACGAGAAACTTAATCACGAATATACGTAGACTAGCAGGTAGGCCCGACGTTGCTCGGGCAAAAGTAACGATAGTGAAGATTAAGATTATTACGTTATAGTCAATCTTACCCGTTTTCACAGAATGCAAGAATTGGGTCCTCCTGTTTCCGGACTAATTAGAGAATTTTTAGATGGGTCTAAAAATATGTTCGATTTCCCACAAAAACGAAAAAACTGCATTTGCGTCTTGCACGTCGCTTTCTCTTAACAATTTCATTGTTACGTAACACTTCCATTGTTACTTAATACCTCCATTGTTGATGGAAGTGTTAAGCCTTAATACTGTCCCTCTCCCCCGTGGGGAGGAATTTCGAAAAATCCCTTCTTAGTGTGCATTTTCGTGACGTACCCTGTGTACCAAATTTCAACTTTCAACTCCTAACCGTTTGGGCTCTGCACTTATTATTATTATCATCAACCCGTCTCGATTATATATATAGATGAGATAAACGGCAATCATGACGTCAATGTAGTGAAGGTGGTATAGTCGACGAAGCGATGAGGCAAGTTTTGGAGTATACTATAGTCAGTACAGCGAAGTGCACACGAGTCAGCCTGAGCATGAAAGAGCTATGTCAGATTGAATGAGACGTGTGAATAATTAAGTAATAAAGAAGTTAGAATTGAACAATAAAATTTGTAAGCAAATAAAAACTCCAGAAAGGGATCGGATCCCTGTCAACTCCAAGTAGTCACGTGTCTCTTTTCATTTGACAGACCTTTCCACTTGGGTTTGACTCCTGTCTACTCTTTTGCCTGCAGCAAAAGAGTAGACAGGAGTCAAACCCAAGTGGAGTGCAGCCAAGCAACACCATGGAATAAAACTGGAAAGTACAGGTATTCTGAATTCTTAAATTACGTAATATTTGATTGATAAAACTTATTAATCTCCTTGGTATAACTACAAAGTTGTTTGGTAGAAATTTTTAGGATATAATTTAAACTCAATGAGACAGTTGGGACCTCATCAGAGCTGTAGAGCATACACACCAGTGTATAAGTCAAAGGAACTGTATCTCACCTGCAACCCTTTGTAAGATCGCAAGTTGCTTTGTTCTGCCAAGACTACTGCATTTAACTATTTGGCCCACATGACTATGCCGTCTTTGAGTAGCCCACTTAACTGTTTGTGAAGTACTTTGTTATATAGTTTTAGGGAATGAGTGGATCACACCCCACCCGGGCACTGAAACACGTAGCTACATATGGAGCATTGGTCGAGGCAAGTGACTGCAAGCCTTGACGATGCAGAGCATGGAGAATAGACAGTACTGATACATGTTAAAAACTGACCTTTGGAGGCAAATATGTCACAATGGGTTCCTTTGACATTTTTGCTCATATAGGGGCAGTGGTGATATTCAGCGGGTTCGCACAGGTTCGGCCGAACCCGTTGTTAACATTTTCAAAGTTTTCCGAACCTTGTTAAACACATGTAACATTTCTCAATGGTTTTGATTCTTTTAAAAAATATATTAATTAAAATATACGTATTATTATACTCTGTAACACTAAACTAGAGCCTTCCGGTGCACCATTTGAGCGAAAAAAAACTGTTAAGGAAAAATTTTCTGTTAGCGAACCCTTTGTTAAATATTTCAAATATCACCACTGTATAGGGGTCTTACAATTCTGGGGATGAGAAAACCCTCATTTGGAGCTTGAATCTTACCACTTTGATAGCTCTGTAGATTATTAGCTAAATCTTCAGCCCTAAGGACCTTGAAGTAAAGTTGAGTTTGGGAACAATATACTGGTTGACCACAGAAAAAAATAATTAAACAGAATATATATGTATGTATGTATGTAAAAATTACAATTTGTTACGTACAATCAGAACTCAAAATTATACTTGGCCATCCTATCCTTATTTGCATGAGCAATATTTATTACAGAAGAAACAATAATAAAAAAACAGCAAACTTTACCATTAATTTGTTTAAAAATTTGATTTTTCCAATAATAAAGTAAAAGAAAATAAAACTTATGTATATAAAACACGTATAAAATATTAGTTTTAGCAAGAACGACAAAAAACAATAATAATTAGTTACAAAAACATTCAAAATAACTATTTTTGTTGTAAAAAGGAAAGAACAAAGAACTTTTCTAATTTGAAATTCAAATTTTCTCAAATAAATTTACTCTTAAAACAAAATACTGAAAAATTATAAAAATTTAGTCCTCTACCAAGTTTAAAAATTTATCTGATGAAAATCAGATAAATACAGAACACAATTGCAAAACTTATTTTCCAATTCTTCCTACAGGGTTGTTTGATTCTTGTGAAATTGATAAATTCTTCTTTACTTCCTATAGTCAATTTTCAAATTTTGATTACGACAAAGTAAAATGGATATACAAGTCTTGTTCCTATATATTTTTAATCTAATCATACCTTGCTCCAGTCTAAAAATTCATTCTGATATTTTTTGTTCAGACACAGTTAAAATTATAGGTTAATGGGGAAAAAGTAGACATTGTTAAAAAGTGCAAGAATTCAAAATACATCATATTTAATTCCATTATGTAATTCCTACAGATTATTTCTGCCAAAATCAAACATTCAAAACTTGAATCTAAGAATACAAAAGTTAAATGCAATAAGACAAAGGAATTAGTAATTAGAATGTGTTTTTATAAATTTATTTAAATTTGTTAAATTCTGTTAGATGAAGAAAAAAAAGTAGTTTCAAGCTTAATACTGGTAAAATATGATTTGTTAAATTCACAATCTTGGAACTGAATTATCAAATCCTGTATGTTTGTTTAAGCTAAGTTCTTTTAAAATTTTAAAACTTCTCTAAGTCATACTTGGATGATAATGCAAAATTATGAGTTCAGTGTGGATTTCAGAGATGATTTTATACAATAAGGGGAATCTGGTACATAAAAATAAATCAAAATAATTAACTATGTAAAAATTAAGTGGAATATTAAAATTATGTAAAAGTACAAAAATATTCATCCATTACAGAAAAAAATACTTTAAAAACTGAATAATTTATTAATCCCAAAACTTATTTTTATTAAAAATGATGACAATAAATTTAGATAACTGTAAAACCATTATGAATATTTGTTAATAAATGTCATCAACTTATGAACACTGAATTCAAAGAAAATATCAATTTAGCTTTAACGTGCTGTACATTTTATTGACTTCTCTGACATTGAATTTCAATGAATAGATGTATATTTGATTTTTTTTTCTTAGATTGTTTTCTTAAAATTATGAGATTTCAATGAAAATACAAAGAATAATTCAATAAAATTCACAATTAATCAAAGCTTTATAAAATGGCTTGTATAAATATATATATATATATTTTTCATCTATGAACAAAATTTTTATTTCCCAGCTAATCTCAAACAGTATTTTACATTAAGCATACATTTGAAGCCATTTTTAAACTAAATTCAAAATTTCTCGATAAAAACCCAATATTCTAATATTTAAACTACACAATTATATTTCACATAACAGGAGAAAGGTCCAAGGAGTGCTAAAACAAACTAATCTTTCAATATTTGAGAACTAGATTCTCAAAAGTAATCTTAGTTTATTTCATTATTGACTCCATGGGTATCATACTCTCAAGATCTAACACTGAATGGGAAGACAAATATATCTCGATTATTTGTAGAAATGGATCATTACACTCGTGTCCACACACTCAATGATTCAAAATGCATATATATTTTAATGTCATGCTTTGAAAATTACAAACTAATGTGAATACTGCTAATGTTGCACCGTCTGGATAAAACTTACAAAACTGGGGGTAAACTTGCAAAAGTTATAAACATATTGCATAATTATAGATTTATATTACAGAATAGGATATCTAACCTACATAAAAAAAACAGTACTTCCCAAACTATGAAATACCAACTTGTTTCTATTCATTATTAAGATAGACTCTGTGTCAAAACACTGTACAACATTTCAGAAAAACTAAGCACATTATATATACATGTACTATTCAACAGTTTGTATTATCAGGGTTTTAAGATTCTCCGTCCTTATCTTTTAGGTCGTCGAATTACGGATCATTTCTCACCGTATTCGTTTGTGCATTTAAACAATCGATCTGTGAACATTGTCCACAAATTCATTAGGATGGCAGCAAAATCACACCGGAAACTACTTTTTACTGTTTTTCTTGGTTACTTGGCCTCTCGGAGGAGTTATTGGACGTCCCGTATTCATTCCTCCATAAGGAAATTTCTTTTTGTCAGCTGGTTTCAATATCTGTGAAAAGAACATTTCAATTATATTTTGTCTAATTGACATATCAAATGTTAAATTTAGATTCTGATGTTTTTAATATCTACTTTAACCAGGGCTAGATAACAATTTATGAAATTTATATTGTAAATTTACATAAATGATAGTTGCGATAAAAGAATTCATGAATAGCTCCTCTCATTAAACTTTTGTCTTAAAATTTACCTTTCTTGATCTCATTTTCAATAGGATAGATTTTTTTGTTTTTAATAAAAAGACCATGAAAAACTGTATCAGAGCAATGTTTGTCAATTTCTGAAATATGCAAACAGTGAGACAAAGTTGTCAACCAATAAAACAGCCATGTTTTTTATTCCAAAAAGCTTAAGCTATTTTTAATCTCATACTCCTAAGTATTAAATATCAGATCTCATACAGCAATATTTAATATTAATTGTTTGTAAATTTTCTGATGTTTATCAGAACACTGTATTAAATATCTATTATATTTAATTCTAGTGAAGATAAAATCAAGCTGCAAAAGAAAGATGATTTATTCTTGTTTAGCTAAACTAATAAAAATAATCAAGAATATTAAATTCTTTCATTCAGATTTGGGGTGTATTGTATAAGGGCCTTAATAGGCCAAAAGTACCAGCATTTGAATTCTTTTTAAAGAAGTAAAAAATAATTATGAGGATAACTTAACAATACTTTTATTTCCTGAAGTTTTAATTGTGTAAAATATTATATTAGAATGCATATTTGATAATAAAAATATGATCTTAGTCAAGATAACACAAAATATTAAATTGTTGTATAATAATGAATGTCTATAACATCAGTAATATGTCCAATATCTCAATATAAATTTTAACTTGCAGTCTAAAAACTGCAAGTTAAAATTTATAAAATGTCATAACTCATTCTATGAAAAAATTACTATATTTATAATTTAAATACTAGAAATTTTTAAAGAGAATAAAAATTAAATATTGAAAATTATTTTACTTCTTAATTGTTGCTTAATAATTTTACTTACTTGGAAAGAACACATGAGAGTTTCATCAACACTCATCATGGCACCAGCATTATCAAATTCTCCACAATAATTTGGTGCAGAAAATAGAGTTACTAACTGTCGTTTGGCAAAAAATTCATATCCATCTTCAACAACCTAAATATTAGACAATTGTTTAGAAAATATTTTGTTTTTTAATTAAACATAAAGAAAATAATAATTTTCCATAACTCTTCAACATATACCCACTTATATGAAATTCCCTCTTCAAAACATGAGTTTGGCTGTTAGTTAAGGACATACTGTAGTGGTGTATATCTGTGACTCTTTAGATGCTAGATTTATTTGATATATCAAAACTATTTGTTATGAAACTTAGCTCATTATCAAATGAATGACTTCAAAAATACAGGAGGAGAGTAAAACAACATTAGCTGCCACTATTCTCTCTTTTTATGATAAGATGTCCTAGCAATTTAAAAGTTAAAAAAGTAAAAAAAAACTGTTAATTCACTATAGTAGATTGTTCGTACACTTTTTAAAAATTTGATTTAAGGACCATTTTAAACAGCAGCTACATGCCATTAGTCAAAAATCTATACATGAAAGTAAAATAAATTCACTCACTTTTCTTTTATAACATTACTACATTGTAATCATTGCTTCCATCAATGAAAAGATTAATATTTTTCAATGGTTTTGATATCAAACTGATCTGTATTAATTAGTGTTGCAACGAATAGTATATTCGGCCAAACTATTTGGCTTGATTAACACAGGTACAAAAATTGGCGTGCAAACCGCATTATGGCAAGGATCCTGCTCTTTATTGGCCCACTGTCACTACACTTTGCCAATTGTGTTAATTCTTGGAAGTTGTAGCGGACAGACAAGAGTGTCATGGAAGTATGTGATAAATGATGATATCAAATGTGGATAACAATGAAATGACCTATACGTGTAAATAACAGAAAAAGAACAGAGAAGGACCGCGGAGTGAAAATGTGAAAATAAATATGAAATTGAGTCGATGACATAATCGAACAAGTTGAGGCAGCTTATTGGCATGAAATTCATGGCTGTAAATGCCAAACAATTGTCGTCATAGACTTTGGAAAGCTAAATGCTTGTAATGAAAGTCACTTAGCATGCACGGGTGAAAGCCTGGGGCTGTTCAGGCTACCAAGCTGTCTCGAATCTGTGAAATCATAACTGTGACTTATACCGACGTCCTATCTGTCTCTTTTCTCCGTTATCACCAGGCTGAATCATGTAATTGTAAAATGGGAACTCTACGACAGAAAAGTGACGAATCGAAAGTATCGTGAGTATTATGATGTATGCATAGGCATACATGGAATAGAGCGATAGAGGAAAGAGAAAGAGAAGAGCAAAGATGAGCGCTTAAAAAGAAGGATAGGCAGGATAAGACCCTCAGATGTGTGAGGATTCTCCAACGATGTACGTGTGCTGATCTTTGTAATTATAAATTGTGAATAAATGTGACTAATATTATTTTCTTTTTTATTTTGTGCATGTTACAAGTTATAAATAAATATAAACAAACAACACTCACCCAACAACATTAAATTTAAATACCAAAATGATTAATTTACTGTGTTTTTGTTATTTATTACTCCTGTTTTTAGGTATTTGGTATTCGTCCGAATAGTAATCGAATATTTGTTACATCACTAGTATTAATTCACCAAAAATACATAAAATGAACTGAAGTGATACAGCTTTTTTAGCATGTCTATTTTCTCATCAAAAGTATTTTTTAGTTTCAACATGGAGTCTTGCTTTTCTTTAGCTGTTTGACTTGGCAATACATGAAAGGCTGCAAACCTTTAATATACACTGATCCATTTAAACTCTAATCCTGTTATTATTAGGTATAATATTTCATACAGCAAACAAATATCCAATGATTTAACAACGTACAATTTATTACTCAATTTTCCCTTTCACATATGCATTTTGGGCTGACATGAACTCTCAACCTCTCTTCAGTGCTACAGAATTTGTATGTCTTCTCATAAAAAAACAACTATAGGTGGCAATTCAAGTACAAGTACATATTCAGTGTTTTTATATACTTCTTAATCCTACGAGGACTGTTGGACATAAAAAATATCAAATTTTGTAAGATGTTATGATTTTCAATTTCAGTTTATTAAATGTTAAACATAAAATGTATTATTTTTAGTACATATTGCTTTGTAAAATTATCTAAACTTTTTGGATACATTTGTGAAATCCAGAATTTTTACCGATTTTTTCCCGATCAATGTCCCGTTTTTACCTAAAAACCCCCAATTAAATTCCTCTAAGAAACTAGAGTGAAAAACAACTTGAAAGAGGGAGAAATTTTAACCTCCCCTTTTTCCAAGGTAAACATTCACCCATCTCAACAATCATTCCCACACTACAAACTTAAAAGTTGAGTTAACATACGATTTCGTCATCTTATTTGGGTTCCAAGGACAACTTTGACCTCCCCGCACACCTTTTACCTCACAACTAATTAGTCACATGACAGTTTTCCCACTGCAAAATGATAAAAGCCACTTCTCTCCCCCCTCAGAGTGTGTCGCTTCTGAGGATTTAACTATAACTTGTGCCCTACAATTGTGCTCTACGTTTGATTCTCTAGGACAGTGTTTTTCAACCTTCTTGAATAAGCGACCCCTTTACAAGTTAAAAAATTCTGGCGACCCCCCAGGGCCATATTAAAACTATATCAGTGATTCTAAAAACTACGTATTTAATTTTCTTTCTTTAAATATCGATCGAAAAACCAATTGTACTGTAAAATAAACAGGCACAGCCTTCTCACTGAAATTCTAGATTTTTTTATTGTAGTGTAGGACCTACAAACACTTGTCTTTTTCTTTCACCCGCAACCCCCCGTGTAAGGCTTTGGGACCCCCTTGGGGGTCGCGACCCACAGGTTGAAAAACACTGCTCTAGGATATCCAAACCCATCAAGAGGTATGGAACTAATTTTTGTGAACTCTCTCTCGGCCCTTCGCGTTTAGGGACTCAGAATTTTCCCTCGATAATAGTTATTGTACCATCTATATAGATAGCTAATAAATTGTTGTTTCTTTGTTAAATTGGTGTCCTCTTTTACTTGTATATTGCCTGTCACCTTACCGATAGCACTCCTCCCTCTGACACTCGCCCAGACCCGAAAAAATTTAGTCCCATTCCCTTGGGATAAACTACAAATTTAAGCCATCTCTGACAAGTGGGCAAGTCCCTCTGACTTGAAAGCCGATTCACAGAGATACAACGTAGTCATACCCCTTGGTTCTCATACATTAAACAAAAATTTATTTTAAAAAAATTGAAACAAAGTTATTCTAATTAATAAGAATTACTAATTGATGTATTCAAAATATTTACATTATTTAAATGGAATTTTTCACAAAAACTAAATTATCTACACTTTTTGGACAAACTGTTACATTTGGTCTTGCTGACAACTAGCAAATTTCTTTTGATGTAATCAATGATGTCTTATCAATTGTAAGACTTTTTTACATTTTAAATGTGTTAAATTAGGCTATGAATCAAAAGTGGAAAAAAAGTATGTTAATACATTTCTTCTATCACAAACATTTTTAGCATATGTAAAATGTAAGACCTTTACTTTTTGCCTTTACCAGATGTTTAGAATCACGAATTAATACTTTTAACATATTATTTATTTGTATTTGATAATTTTTTTATACAGCAAACATGCAGAAATATTTTTCTACACAAAAGCTCCTAACAACATTAAAATAAATGCATTTTTAATATGAATATAAATTTATATTAAAAATAATGCTAATTAGAAGAACAAATTTAGTTTACTGTCACAATCAAACAATATATAATAATAATATCTACTAACTTCCTCAGTGAGTTGTTGTTTGTTGTATTGCTTTGGTAACTGCCACTTGAAAAGCTTTCTTAGTGTACAGATGCTTCTGTTTCCTATCATGACTCCTTGTAGTTAATTGTTCACTAGATTCCTGTATATAGCTATTGTTAAAGCTTCACTGAACATGCTAGGGTTGAGACATCAATTGCTTTATTCTTAAATTTAAGACTTATAAAAACTAAATGCACCATCATTCATCTAATCATCTCTCTTTTAATGGCATTGAATAATTTTGCACTCTTGTTCATTTGTTCTAATCTGTTCTATGGTAGTGTCTTGAGCTAGTGTTTATAACCTGGGAGTATACGTTTGGATATCTTTCCTTATTTCTTCATGTGTGGGAAATTTCTACGAGTATGATTCTTTTTCAAAACAAAATCAACATTAATTTAAACTCCATATAGTTTGTAATTGCTTTAGATTTATGGTCTTTCCAGACAAGGTACCTAGCTATACTCTTAAGTTTACATTTGGCCATACTTAAACATTGACAGAGTCCATCCTGCTAAACTAGCTACCTCATCTAACATATCCATGGTACACTGTGCAGATTCTGAAGGTATACATCATACTTACCTTAGAGCTAATCATGTTTCTCAAAGAACATGCCTCTTCTCTCCATCCCACTCAACTATGGGGTATATCCACAAAGTTAGACATAAATCAGAAAAGTATTTCAAATATCAAATGAACAGCCATATTCCTTTATTGGGCTATTAAGGCTAAGTAATTACTAAGTACTTTGGTAGGAGACAGGCCACCAAGCTGCCACCTCTTGTTAAATATAATTACATATTAATTAGTTACAGAATAGCAAGAGGCAAACAGACAAGAATAAAAGAATTTATACATTTGAAGAGAAATTTAAAGAAATTCATAAATTCAGATTATTATTTTAAATATATTAGTATAATTAATTTTTAAATAGCTAACCTGAATTAATTTTAAAATTACTTTACAATTCTGATTAATTAAAGATAAATTCAAATGAAATAGCAAGCAAATGTTTACATTTCATTTAAATTCTATAAAAAAAAAAAAAAATGGACTAGAAGATTCAACTTGGATAATTTAGAATCTTAAAAATTTTAACTCTTACCTGATGTGCTCTACATATGAGATCCAAATCATGTTTATGCAGAAATTTTGCAACAACATCTGCACCAAATGTATAAGAAACACCTCTATCATTTTCACCCCAACCCATCACATCTTTATCAGGATCTGACCATAGCAAATCACACAGCAATCCTTGATCTGGTACATCAGTTGGGCGCATGATACGACGTATTTGTTCCATTGATTGCAAGTCGGGACTTAATCCTGTTAATAAAGCATCAGTTTAACTTTCATATATATTCTTTTAAAATGCACACACAAAGCATATGTATTTATGCATGCATGTATTCATATTGTAAAATAAATTTGCCGTGAATAAAAATAACAAGTAAAAACAAGTAGAGAACTAAATTATTTAATCTATTAAATATTACATCTCTGTATTGTGATTTATAAATTGGATCAAAATAGTAATGTACTACATAAGTACAAAAAAAACTTATATCATCAGATTAGACATATACTCTAAATAAATTATAGCTATTCACTACACTGTTTACTTGTGCCTTGTAAAATATTACTTTCTGCTTATAACCCACAGTAATGTATAGCCTATATCAGCATATTGCAGAAAATTGTTTAAAATGAAAATAAAAACTAACCCACAGCACCAAAGTCACAGATGAAAATACGATTAGAAGACACTGTCTTATACATTGTTTTGCATAATTACAAAAAACAAATAGAAAAATGAAATATTTGAGATGGAATCATAATGCATCAAGTATTAAAAATAATAATTATTATAGTGTATTCAATGAAAAATGAGCATCGTTATATGATAAAGACCCGATATATTGTAATCATCAGGCAATTCAATGTGATTTAGATATCCCTCCTGAAGTGTTAAAAAGATACTTTATGATCACCTGGTACATAGGTGATAAGAACTATTATAAAGTAGTTTGATTACAAGAAAAAGTAATTAATATACACCAAATTCTCTTTTCACATGAATATTTTTTTTACACAGTTTTGATTTAACATAGTCTGTAAAACAAAATTCAGTTTTCATTTTACATTATTTAGTTTGATCTAACATGTTTCAATAATTGTTGATCAATAAAAAATATAAAACAATGGGATCGGTGAAATTTCTAAAAATAAAAGATTATCTTTATATAAGATAAACGAGTAAATTAAAAACTCTTTCTTAAACCGATTTCGAGTAATTTGTATTAGCAGACAAATAATTAACAAAGATACTTTACTTCTGCCAACTCTATTTCTTTTATTACTTTCAAATTTCTCAAAAAACTCTCCGTAATTTACTCGTTTATCTTTCTAAAGATAATCTTTTATTTTTAGAAATTATATTTTTTTAATGTTTCAATAAATTTGCCATTTTTCCTAGAAAATTGCTCTTTTCAAAACAAATTCTTAAATTTGCATATAAGGCTATTACAGATATTTAATCTTAAAATTTACCTGAGTAAAAAAACAGACTAAATGTGTAGCAACAATCAATCTTTCATTCAGACTTTATCCCATAACTGAAGCAGTCAAGCAATTTAATTTGACAATTTGTATGGTAATGTTTCTTCCAATTTCTTTCAATACAAAATAGTTTTTGTATGCCATATGATGTTAAGAAGTAGTGATATTTTGGTTTAATTGAAAAAGTGGAGTAAAAAAATAAATTTTAAGTTAAAATGATCCTTCCTCCGATTTGTTAACTAAAATTGAAATATTTTGTTTAAACACATTCTGTTATATTAAAGTTTGGAATAAACCTTCATTTTTTCATACTGACAGTATCTTTTTTATACAGAATTTTTCCAGAATGTTTCCTTCTAAAACAGATTAGGGTGTATTTAATCCAATAAATGAATCAAATTGATAAATTTATTGTTGTAATGAAAGATAATTATCTTTGATTATTTCAATAATAATGTGTAATGACCATGTAATACAACAAAAAACACTGCTTTATAATTTTAAAATTAATTAATAGAGTAAATGTATAATAAACCACTCTCATACCTCCATGACAGCAAAATATTTTTTCATCAACTATTGCTGCAACTGGCAAGCAATTAAAGCAGTCTGTAAATGTTTTCCATAGTTTAATGTTGTATCTTCTCTTACCTTTAAAAAAATAAATTTATGAAAATATTACTGTAATTTAATGCAATAAAGCAATTATTCAAAGGAATTTTAACTTACATTCATCATAAAATCCATAAATTCTGTTAATACTTGCACATTCATGATTTCCTCTCAAAAGAAAAAAATTCTCAGGATATTTTATTTTATATGCCAACAAAAGGCAAATAGTTTCTAAGGACTGTTTCCCTCTATCTACATAGTCTCCTAAGAACAGATAATTGCTTTCTGGAGGAAACTGGCCATATTCAAATAACCTAAGTAAATCATAATACTGGCCATGAATATCACCTGGAAAAACAAAATAATCTTAGTTATATGTAATTTATTTAATGGCAAAACTAATTATTTGATTTATCAAAATCTAGCAGATAATTAGTTATTGTTAAAACCATTAATTATTTTTTATATAAAATTTATTGATTTATCAATAAATTTACCCCCTTCAATAAGAGAAGGTTCTGATTTTAAAAGTTATACTAGAAAGTCTAGATATATTAACTAATGCAATATTTTTGAGACACTCCTAAAACTCATTCTTAAATATTTTTAATACTTTTTATAATTACACAACATTATTAACAACGTTCAGTATTAATGTTGACTTGGAATAATGAAAAAAAGTATGAAATACATATCTACCTCCAAGGACCAGTTGCATCAATTGAACATATGTGAAATCAATTTGTGTAACTGTTCTACCTACCAACATTCTACCTATGTCACTCTTTTGACTTCATCTTCCAGATGAGGGTAAACACCTCTCCAGCAAGATCCAACAGTGCTGCCTTGAAGAGCCACCAGAGCCACTGGAAACAGGATCACCATCCTATCTTCACTCATTGACCTTGAAAACCAACTCCACGTCACCGATCCAAATCTGTCAGTAACAGTAAACTCTAGAATAATTTCTCCAGCAGATAGTGTCATCATCAGGCTCAAGTACAAATAAACCATAAGGTCAAATGGATCTTTAAGATATAGAGAAATAAACTTCCTTCATATTATCCCAGACATAGAAAGTAAACTAAAAATTTTGATCATCTTTAGCTGATTATTACAGGTGGAAAACATCTATTACAACTATTTCACACAACTACACATGGCTAATGCCACTACAGCAACGAAAAATTGGCTTGAAAGACACAAATATGGCATTACTACAGCCAATAAAATGAAGCATTTTGTCCTGATGAAAAATATACATACTAAGAAGGATTAAACTCACATAAGAATGAAGTAAATGCAGAAAACCGAATGCAGGGAGGTAAATTGGCAATACCACTACCTTACATCCACTGCCAACTCTGTTAGGATGTTAGATGAAAATGCACTAAGTATTGCCCTTCCTGAACTAAATAAATATTTTGGCTCCAAGGCTGTTCTCATTGACAAAAATCAATAAAGAAAGAGGTTATAATGTGGTTGAGAGAAATGCCTCTCACTCACATATCCACTGGAGAAACATCTTCAAAGTCTTTCCCCCTTACCTTCAGAATTCAACTACCCAAAGTATTGTTGATCTCAGGAACATAACACTAATAAAAGATGAAGTGGTAACTATATGTCATAAGCCTATACCACTCTATTAAACTTGAGTCTTGCTTCTGTGCCATTGGAGACTTTCTGCTATCCCATATTCCAAATCCTATTAATATCTTTCAGATATATTAAGCTTGCAAGTTCTAGATTATCACTTATCCCTTTTCTCCTTCAACAGTGAAAGCTAACAGAACAAAGGCATTCTATAAAAAGCCTATATCATATTCACTTTGTAACCTCATCTTTAGGAAACTATAGCTGCCTCATGCTATCTTGAAACCAAAAACATTTTGCACATGAATGTATTTATGATTTAATGATGCATTCCAGTTATTGACTTCCCTTGTTCATTTTTTATAATATTTTAACTGAGATTTATCAATAAATGATATCATCACCTGTTTTTGGAATATTTGTATTTTTATTAATGGAAGTCTATCATTACTTGCTTAGGAAACAATGCCATACCCCTTACCATAACTAAGGAAATGCTATCATTTCAATTTTTGAGGAACTTTGTTATAAAATGCTGATAATTGAAAAATATACTTGAATTTTAAAATTACATTTAATTTGAGTTTGTTTATAACTTGTTTATGTTTTGTTGATAATTTGTTTATACCTGAAATACCGTATTTATTTGCATATAAGACGAGGTTTTTATTAATTTATCACAGCTTCAAATTCCTAGGTTGTCCTATATGCACGAGTGAAAGATTCTTTGCATTTTTGCAAATAATTTTTGTGAACAGTGTATTTGCATTTTTTATCGGATGCTTACCATCTTGTATTTTGCCAGGAATAAAGATGAACAACAATAGAAATAGCAAAGCTTTTGAATTGAATTCCAGATTGAAATTCCAAAATCACACAGGAGCACAATATAAGTTTTAATCCATTCCCACGTAAAAACAGATGATTATTCAGAAATCAGAATTCGGAGAAACTCATAAGTGTAATTGACAGAGTGGATTCAACTGTTAAGAATTGGCAAAAAAAGGTTCCCCGATTGTCCAGCTTTACATGAACAAATTTTGTTGATTTTACAAGATTTTTCTGTAAAGTTTAAAATGCCAGTAATTTTTGTGGGATAATGTGTGCATTTACATTCATTTGATATTTTACTTGTGATTAAACAAAATAAAATTAGAATTGTATTAAATTAATAAATCTAATTTTCCTTATTTTGATCTTTACAGTCACATCTTGTCCTATATGTAAGTAAATATGATAAATACCAAAAATAGAAACTACTTTTTATGCACAGAATAGTTAGAGTAAAGCAGTGGTTCCCAATTCCCTTCACGCAATTTCGCGTACCCCTGAGGTACGCAAAATTGCGTGAAGGGGTACGCGCGGCAATCTAAAATCGGTCGATTTAAAATTTAAACGCATGAGATGAAGCAATCAAAAAAATAATGGGGGACCATAAAAAATTTGGCAATTTACAACATGATGTCGAATGCACAAATTCATTTATTAATAACTAAAAATATTCTCGAAATTTCATCAAAAAAATGCATTTGTGACAATACCTAAATGAAATTCTTACGCAAGAAACAAAAAGTGTACAGTTAACACAATTTGTGTTAATTGTACAATTATCATTATCATCGTGTCAGCGAAGCGGCAATAAAATATTTACTACCATTTTGCACAACATACCTCTGCGAGAGCGGATTTTCGGCCATGACAAACACGAAAACTAAACGTTGTCACCGACTTCAACTCAAAGATGACTCGAGACTGAAGCTGATCAAAAAGCAACCAGATTTTATAAACTTGTGCAAAGAAAATTGTGCACATTTGTCACATTAAAATTAAATAAACTTATGTTATTTTCATTATTATTAGAATTGTATTTTAAAGATAATAAATGTAAAAAAAAACTTATTCTATTTATCACTAGCTGTCTACCCACAGCTTCGCCCGCATTATATCGAGTTTTCTCGTGGGAGTAAGATATTTTCTTGCAGTAAAATGTAGCCTATGTCCATCTCCAACATGTAAGCTATCTCTGTGCCAAATTTTATTAAAACCTGTTCAGCGGTTTAGGCGTAAAAAGGTGACAGAATTACCTTCGAATTTATAATATTAGTATGGATTAATATGAATTTCCACTATAAGGGGTACGCGAGTTTGAGCTCTTTCTTGAAGTGGTACGCAGGAAAAACTAATTGGGAACCACTGGAGTAAAGTGATGATACACAACTTCTTGGTTTCAAGATATAAGATGGCCATAACTGCCTAACCCACCTAACAGTTCTCCTAACCCTCATAAAAGCATTTATTATGATATGTGGATAATGTCTTAATCATTTGGAAGTATAAACCTGACAGATGCTTTCCTTCAGCTAATGAATAATATTCCCTATGGTGTAACAAGTGGACTATGTAAACACAGACAATGTTAACTTTCTGGGTTAATCTTTCATTCAAATGAATAAATCTATACAAAAGCCAACCTTCCTATCTCTACTTGCTCCTTCAACTCACTTTACCTTCAAAATTAAACATTCCATGCATTGATCAAGTGTGCCTATATTCACTACTCTTAACTCACATATCAGAGAGCTAAATAGGATCATCAGTCTACCATATAAAATGGACTCTGATTGCGTAACATCCTCTGCCTCATTGAGAACTTTGTGAATACTGAACAAAATACATCAAAATGCAATTACATCTCCTCCTCCACATTCGCATACTCCAGAACACTTCAATCTACCTTTCAAGGCCCTCACTAAAACTAATAATAAACATAATCTACTGACACAAGCCAACTTTATATCATCTCCTATCATGATAAATGAAGAAGTGGAATGTACTGCACATCATCTCAGCTATAAATGAAGATAATGGCATCAACACAGCATATGTTGGATATATCAAAACTCCTCCATCAGAGGTTCATTGAACATAGTGATATTATTATAAGAAAAGGATCTGCTATAGTTTTATCTTTCTTTGCGCAACTTCCCAGTACAAAGTAAATTGGCACATGGCCAAAATCATCAAAACCATCTCTTACCTTTCCCATTATAGACAAGTGTGAAATTTATAACCACTTCCTTAGAAACACACACAAAGAACTTTTTCATTTGCCTGGCAATATCTATTTAATCTTTCACATCAACCACTATCATTGCAGTCCATTTCCCTTATTGTTTATTGGGGGTCTCCTATCTTCCTTCCAATACTAGCATTCCACTTTTAACTGTCCATGCCTGAAGATGAGCCATTAATTAGGTCAAAAATATTAGCATTACTTAACTTTACCCACTGTTAAAAGTGCATTGATTAATTCAGTTATATAACTGTTGTGAGAAGAGAAAAATAATGACTATAGTTTATGCAGTTATATCTCTCATTCTGACAATGTCTTAGGATTTCATACATGTTTTTCAATGATTTACAGTAATATACTTAATTGATGAGTAAAATAAAACATTCAATATAAAGTTAAAAAAATAAAGCAGAATCTCAAGTAGAACAAGTTTTGTTTAGATATCATCATTGCAGAACCTCATTGAAAATTGTGAGAAGGTATTCCTTCTTGAAGCATAATCATGATCTATAAGCAATTGTTGCATTGTGCTATTCAGTGCATTACAAACAAACAAGTTTGAAATTTTTGGTAGTAACAGATACTGAAAAACATTATTAAATGAGCAGCTTCTCTTCTTTAAAAAAGGATGATAAAAAGAAATGACCATTCAAATATTAGTAGACATTACTGACATAGTCCT